TAATGTTAAATTAGAAAGCTCAATATGAGAATTCTTTGAAGCTGTTACCCTATCCCCCATCCCATATATACATATATCCACATAGCCTCCAGTGTTCCTTCATTTCTATTGAGCATTGTAAAGTAAATGCATAAGAAGAGGTGAGGTATGCAAACCACACCGAGAGTAGATCTCCTGTCTATCTGTAACATGGAATGCTGCCAGGACAAAGTAAACTCAGCCTATGCCAACTGCTGGCCTCTAACATTTAGTCATTAGAAGAGAGCTACTATTTTTGGAGTGCTTGCTCTGTGAGAAAGGCTGTGTTGGGTGCTTTACATTTAAAACATTCAGTCCTCACAAGAAATAAATGAGCTAACTATTCTTTCCCACACGTTACAGATCAAAAAACTGTGACTCAAAGAGATTATTTACCAAAGTCATAATTTAGCAGAGCTGGGATTTAAACTCAGGTCTAATGCTCCTGCACTTGAGGTTTCTGTTGGACCATTGGCTTCTTCCCCAGAAATAACTGTTTATTTTGGTTCAGAACCATTTGTCTATTTAATCTTTTGTCAAGTGGTGTGGTATATAAACATGCATTAATTATGCATATTTGGTACTTGACTTTGGACAACTTATTTGACCTCTGGGTACTAATAACTTGCATGGTAAATCCTTAGTTTGGACTAGTTGGTTTCTAAGGTTCTTTGGGATTCCTTAGTACCTTGTGTCCTAATTACCCCTTGTAGCTATTGCCTTAATGCATTAGGCATTTCTTAAATGACTTGCAACCTTGCTTTTTTAGAATTTCAGATTTAGAGGATTCATGATTAAATCACAAAGTCACTTTATAGCGAACACAAAAAATTTGGCTACTTAGTAAGTACTGCCATCTTGTGTCTACAGTTTTTTCCAAGTTAAAGTTAAAAATGAGGGAGATTATACTTAAGTATTGTTTTGGTAGGACTTAAAAAACAGTCATTTGATTTAGTCACCCAGCAACCTTGGTCAGATTGAAATGACATTGTGATTTTTTTAATGATGCCTTCTTGCCTTTTATTCCTTATATTCCTTTTATTCCTTATTCTTCAATTCCAACATAATGAAACTCAGATATGAAAGCTACAAGTTTTCTCAGGTTCTAAGTGATTATATTTCAAAATAGTGTTTTACTTTTTTAAAAATTAAACTTTTTGTCTTATGGTCATTGCAGGCTCACATGACATTGTAAAAAAAATAATATACAGATCCCTCATATTCTTTACTCAGTTTCCCTCACTGGTAACATCTTCTGAAACTATAGTACAGTATCACAACCAGAATATTGATATTGCTATTGATAGTCAGGATGCAGAACTTTTCAGCACTTCAAAAGCCCCTTGTGTTGCCTTTTTAAAGACACACCTCCTTCCTTACCTACCTGACTGCACCCTCTCCTTAACCCCTGGCAACCATTATTAATCTGTGCTCCATTTCTATAATTTTTTCATTTCAAGGAACTTATATAAACAAAATCATAGAGTAAAATTTCAGGATTGAATATTTACACTGAGCATAATTCTGTCAAAATAGATTTTGGAGAATTAGTGTAATTATAAATTATATGCTCAGCAGTATTAGTAATGTATCTCTCTGTGCTTAAATCTTAAGCTTAGTTGTTTCACCTTAAAGCTGTATTATTCTGTTTATTGAAAACAAAATTGTCAGTGGAAGATGGAAGAGCTACTGATATATAGGATTTTTAGAGTTATTTGCTGAGATGTATTCGCTTGTACCAAAAATATATAAAATGAAATTGACACTGGCATTCATCTTTCACATGTCTCTAAATTTAGTCCTTTTACTCTTTATAGAGATTTGCTTTTAACAGACAATGTGGGTTTCTTTGAAGATGTTAAATGGCTTATGATAACCTTTTGTTCTTTGTATTTTTTAAAAATCTAGAGTCTCTTAGCTCAGAGTTGTAACTCTGGGGAAAAAAATATTAAAAATCATAGTTCTTAGATTCGGGTGTTCCTGGTTGTGATATTTGGCAAAACTTTTTTCCTCTTTTCTGTAGAATGAAAAAAATTTCACAGCACTAGCTACTTATTAGGTTCTCGTTATGTTTCAGTTCCCTTGCTTCTCCCTTCTCCCTTTACTGATCAACTCTGTAAGAGGTTTTAGTGACTTTTTAATGCTAAAGTATGACAGAATTAGTTGTAAATAAGTGTTCTGACTCTTGTTCAGGATGAGAAGATACAAAATCACCAAAAATAGTATTTTTTTAAGATTTATTTTTATTTACCCATGCAAGAGCTGGGGTGTAGGCCAGAGGTGCGGGGTTGGCGGGGGTGAGATGATTCACCAGAGACAGAGTGGGGAGCAGAACAGGCAGACTGACTGAAATACACTGCTAAGGGGAGCAGCGGGGGAGACAGGAGGGGTCTGCTGTGCCATGTGGGTATCTCCCTGGCCTGGGATCAAACTCATGCTGCAGTAGTGTAACAGGGTGGTCCCCAGGAAAGGGGGAGGTTCCCTGCCCCACCCAAGGGAGGGTGGAGCTGAGCAGGAAGAAGAGAAGCGGCAGAAGAGACTGAGGAAAGAAGCAGGATGGAGCCAGGAGACCTGGAGGAGGCGCGTGGAGCCTAGAGACATGTGAAGAAACTGCACTTGTCTTTTGGTCATGGACTAGGTGACACAGATGTAGGTGAGACCCATGGGGAGGTGACCATGGCAGCTTTTATCTTGATGTTGATTTTGCTCTTTTCCTTCCGGGCTTGTCCGGTTGTTTGTGACCCTTTTCTGTGGGTCCCCACTGGAAGATGCTTTAGACTTGTGGCAGGCTTTGGGGTCTTTCTCTGGGCCAGTCCCATTTGGATGGAGTTTTACCCACGAGAGGATGGATAACTTTGGGTTCTTGATTTAGAAATTAGACTCTTTGCCTTACCTGTATTGTTTCCTAGTTTTATTAAAGTTCCTTCCCATTAAAGTGTCATATGTTTTGTGTTGATGCGGCGGATGGCAGAACCCATTTAGAATAGGCAGGTCTGTGGGGTTTGGGCTACCCCTCTCCCTGTCCTATAACAGTAGCTGTGGATTGTTTCAGTGTGCTGACGCTTAACCCCTTGCACCACTAGGGAGACCCCCAACAATAATATTTTTAATTTCTGAATTACTGTCTTTTTCCATTTTCCTTGGCTGTTGTGTTAAAATGTTTTATTTTGTTCTGATTTTAGGCCTCTGAAAGGTATGATATATTTGTTCCAAGACAGTCCATTTCAGTCCAGGAATCTACAGTGGTGACAAGGACATGGGACTCCTCCTGCCAGATTCCAAATGGTTCAATACAATTAACATCCTGGCTGACAACTGTGAAAAAGAACCTTGGATTATTTTATTTTATTTTTGTGGGACACCACAATCCCAAATCCATAGAACACATCAGGTAATCTTTCTTGTCACTTGAGACAAACGTGTCCCTTTTTGTTTCAAAATGTTAAATATAAAAATCAACAGGCAAAGAATTTTAAGGAGTTCCCTCCTTGGTAACCTTATTGTTTTGAGAATAAATCAATTAACTTTGGTATAGAATATAGTTAAGAAAGACATGTTTTTTATGCAAGATAGTCTACCTATGAGTTCAGAATCTATTTCTTTGAATTCTTTTTAACTTTTCAAATGTATTTATGGATTTCAAGGAAAGAACTCTTCACTTTTCTAGATCAATGTAGACAAGACAGGTTCTACTTATTTTTCCTCCTTGATATTTTATTATGAAATTTTCAGTATTATAGAAAAGTTGACTTTTACAGTAAAAAGCCATATAATTATCCCTAGATTCTGTCATTAACATTTTATCATACTTGTTTTCATCTATGTCTGTCTATATAGCCATGAATTTGGCTTAATTTCTTTGTGCATTTTGAAATAAATTGTTCTTCTCACCACCAAAAAAGTAGAATTATGTGAGGTGGTGGATATGTTAACTAGTCTTTTTTTTTTTTTAAGATTTTTTTATTTATAAAAGAACCAGGGTACAGGCCAGATATACGGGAGGGTGAGAGGATTCACCAGAGACAGAGTGGGGACAGAACAGGCAGACTGACTGAAATACACTGCTGAGGGGAGCACCAGGTGAGACAGGAGAGGTCTGCTTCACCTTGTTAACTAGTCTTAATAATCTTTTAGCAATATATATATGTTTCAGCTCTTCACATTATACATCTTAAATTTACACATTAGCCCATGACAATTCTATCTCAATACAGCTAGTGAAAAAAAAATAAGCACACATTTCTCACATGCCCTAATGTCTCTGAAACATTTTTATTTAATATCCTGTGTAAAGTTCCCAGTATTTTCTTAAACTCACTAAAATATGAAATATATTGATGTATTATATATTTGATTTCCTATGCAGTCCATATACTAGAGCATCTGGTAATACCTGTCATTTGGCACGAAATCACATAAATCAGGAGAGTTTTCAATACTTGATTCATAATGCTGAACAGACATTAATGCAGATTCAAGATTGTGTTCTATACAAAATACTGCTTTTTTTTTCCCCCAAATTATTTCCTTTCAGAATTCCAGGGAAATTTAGAATTTTAGGAATCCAGATGAAAGCTATAGGAAAATATTTTTCACACAGAATGATATTGGTAATACCTCTATAGAGAAAAATCTAATATCATCTATGTATATATAACTCTGCAACCATTACCTTCCATCTTGACTGATGACGATTCATTTCTTCATTGCCAAAGTAATACATGCATCAAAATCACCTTGCCTTACTATAGCTCTTATGTCACTGTATTATGATTTTCTTTTCATTTAAACATGTCAGCCATTAAACTGTATACTGTTTGAAAGCAGGAATTCTGCTCTGTGTGTGTGTGTGTGTGTGTGTGTGTGTACATACATATGTATGTACATATACACTACATTTCTGGAACATAAAAGTATTATGTAGTAACTAAATGTAAAAAATATCTCAAACTGAATTTCTTTTTTTAATTACTTAGGCTTCAACTTCCTTGTAGAATTCTAAAATAACCTTTGCTAATGAGGATGTCTGATACTGTTACTGCAAAAAATGAAACTGAAACAATGAAGGATTTGGACACAGAAGTGAAAGATACAACCAGAGTTGAAAATCTTATCAAATCAGAAAACTATGGGAAGATTTTGGCAGAGAAGAATGAACGTTGTATTGACAATAATATTGATTTGCAGGTAAAAGGATTTTTTCTCTGACTACAAATACTAAATATTCCATATATAAGTATATCCTTAATACAAATCTCACTTTCAGAATACTAACAGGGTAAGTTGACCCTTTGGGTCATACTTACCAGCTGGATTCTGAGCTGAATGACTTGTTGAGTCTAGCTTTTGACTTGTTTGTATCATAATTATTTTTATTTCTGTGTGGCCAATATAAATCTTCAGTTTGCTTTCTATTTTTTTGTTCCACTCAGCCTCTTACATTGTTTTGAGAATTCCAGATGCTCTTAGAGAAGAAGAATAGAGAGATTAGATAGAGTTCTATTTGCAAAAATAGCCCTAGAGGTAAGTCAGTCAACCATAACTGAGAAAAGAAGTTATTTGGGGGAAAAAGTCAATTGAAGCTTTTGATACTATACATATATGATGATTTAGAAATAATTACCACCAAGAAGGCTTTTTAATTCTAGGCATAGATGGAAATTGATAAATTGGTTAATAAATTCAAGATAGTTAAAAATTATTTCAAGTGGTGCTAGTGTTCATCCCTAGGTATTACAGTTACCTATTACTGTGTAATAAATTATTGTAAAACAAAGGGCTAACAATTTTAAAACATCTTGATTTGTGAGTCAAGAAAAGGACCAAAGGCTTGGCTGAGTGTATTTTCTGTTCTACAGAGTATCAAAAGAGGTTCTGTGCTGAATGACAAGCTGGCCTAGAAGGCCCAAAATTGTTTCTCTGACCTAACTGGCACCTTGGTGGAAATTACTGGAATGTAAGCTCAGCCTGAACTGAGAGCACTACCCATAGCCACTCCAGCATGGTGGGCCGGGAGCTGATAGTCTTTTTATTTGATGACTCGGGGGGTACCATACAGAATGTTTAAAGAAACATGCAAAATTGCAAGTTCTCTTCACTCAGAAGTCCCAGAATATCATTTCCACTGTCTTCTTTCATGGTATAATTCAGTAAAACCAACCCACTTCTAAGGAAGGGTAATTAGACCCCACCTCTCAGTAGGAAAGACCCTTAATGTAGCACACAGAAAGTTATCTTAAAACATAGTTTTTTATACTTGTTTTAGTTTTGCCCTATGAATAAAGAATTCTGTTTTTGAAGAAAAAATTCTGTCATTCTCTCTATAACCTAATTACCTTGAGGGATACATGCCCAGAGTTATACCTTTATTGTTTTTAATAAAGAATTCTCCTTTAAATGTTATTTTTATTCCTTCATTTGATCAAAAACTTTATTCCCTATTATGTGCCCAAAATGTGTGAGAAAATGATAGCTACTCCTATATAACGATAAGAAAGAAAAAAAAATTTAGGCTCCACTGATTAAGAATAATCAAGTGGGGCCTCCCCGGTGGCGCAGCAGTTGAGCGCTGGGTTGCGAAGCTGCCCGCGGCCTTGCGGCACCGGTTGGATCCCCGGCTGCTCCCTGGCCACCAGAGGAGGGTCCCACATGGCGCACAGATCTCTCCTGCCGCCCGCTGCTCCCCTCAGGAGTGTACTTCGGTCCTTCTGCCTGCTCTGCTCCCCGCTCTAGCTCTGGTGAATTCTCTCACCCTCCTGCGCTTCTGACTGTACCCAGTGCATGTATAAACAAAACGAACAAATAAATTAATAAATAAATAAAACATGCCTCTATAAAAAAAAATTAATTAAAAAAAAATCAAGTGATGATTAAGAAATTGAGAGGAACAGCATTTTCTCCTAGTCGTTTTTAAAAATGCCGCTTTTTAAGACAAAAAAAAATTGCCATGCCTATAATCAATACATTCAGTGGTGTCAGCCTCCAGGTATCCTGATTGAATCAGAGGGAAAATCTGCTAAAATTTCATTGCATTCTTGATGAAATAGTAAGCAGTTTCCTTTTAGTTTCTTATCTATACCTAACATTTACTGTTGTGAGTCATATTTGTCAATAAGTGATTAATCTGGGACATTGCATTTCCTTCCACATCTATGGTATTGCCCTTGGCAATAAACAGAAGAAAATTCTGATGACCACTATTGATTATGGCATGGTTCCACAGGAAAATTACATAATTATCAAAACAGTTATTGAAAACCTACTCTGTGTCAAGGAAATACTGTCATAAGCAAAAATGGACATGATGTCTAACATATTCCATATAGTGTGGTGACTCTAAAGGCTAAGGAGGAGGAAGAACAAAGAGAATATGAGAACTCATCTTAATTCCATTGAATACTATATTCATTTTTTATTCAAATGCTTATTAAGGACTTACTCTAAGTGGGAATATTTAGACTGCATAGAGCTTTTTGAGGTCCATGTAAAATGTCTGGCAAGGAATTTATAGTCAGAAAAACAGAAGAGATTTCAGTAGTATAAATAGATAAACTAATAAAGTTTTTTCCTGTGTTTTCACATAATATAATATAAAACAAATTGCTTTTGAGTATGAACAAGGAATAGAGTATATTGTTTAAAAGTCAGGTTTATTTATATAAAGTTATTTTTTAACTTAATATGAAGTTACCTATTATTAAATACCTTTTTTCTAGCATGCCACTAAATACTTCAGCTTTCTTTGGTACCACTTCGATACTACCTACAGGTTTCATTTTAAATAGCAACTGTTATTTTTACTCAGATTTACATGTATGTGCTACTTAATGTAGGTTTTTTGTTAAGAATGTTTAATATACCAACATAGTCTCTATTTTCCTCTCTACCATTCTGAAAGTCTGCTACTGTGAATATAACTAACGTCTGTCATCTTGCTTTAGCAGAGTAATATTTAAAGTGACTTAGGAAATAGAAATGTTTTCCTAAAGAACCGTACCTCTTTCATCCATTACCAAGTCTTAATTTCCTGACCATCCCCTTAGTATTTTATTTAGAAGAGGTCATTTTTAAGTGAAGGGATGTGACAGCTTTTTTAATACTATGAAGAAATGGATACCATTTCCATAAAAAATAATTTTAGCAGACTAGAGAGAGATCAGCAGACATTAGACATTACATGTTTGATGGTTCCAAGCAGAAATCATCTCATAGAGCTCCTTGACCATTTACTTTATAAATAATACTGCTTGTGTGACTGACTTTACTCTTTAAATGTTAGTTGTATTTTTTAATCAAAGTTTTGTTTTGAACTATAATCTTTTACAGAAATTTTAGGATTATTTTCTTAAGAATTTCTTTAAAATATGTTACCAATAATTCAAGTAATTTGTGGGCATTGATGTCACGAAGTTATTTACCTTCTCATATAATTGTCATGGATTTACTCCCAATTTTTTATAGTCATGAATAATTATGCAAAGTGTTTTTGCATGGTAACTTTCCAGCTACCACACACTATTCAGCACAACTGTTGGACAGGATGGCACTTCAAATTGTAATGATAATGTTCTTGTGGAGTAAATAAGACAACTGGTTTTTGTTAATAACTAACCTTATGTACTGAAGAGCATGAACAGTTTTTGATACATATACACGTGTATGTATTGCACATGTGTTTTTTTCCATACACACAATAAGTTGAAGTGGATGTTTAGTAATATACTCAGTTTCTGTAATCAGATGACACCCTCACATCTTGTATTCCCCAAGTTAATTCCACTATATTTCTTCAAATAGGGATGGGAGGGCACATCAAGCAAGGAAGGGGCAAAAAACAATCCATTGCTTTTTTTCAACAGTGAAGTTAATGGATGTCAAATTCCTTAATTAATAAAACATATAAAGAAGTTTTGTTTAAAACATTGGATAAAAGTACTAAAATCATCAGCTGTGGTTATTTTTCTTTAACCTTAAAATTGATCTACACAATAAATTAGAAAGCAGTCTAGATAGATTCATTGTAATATTACTCAACTATTTATTATTGAACCTCAATATTTCTCCAAGCAAGTACTTATTAGCTCTGATAATGTATTATCAGTTTCAGACTGAAATTCTATTAAAGGTGTTTAATATTCTGTGCCTAGTTACTGGTTAATTCCTGTCTAGTAACTACAGTATCAAACAATGTTTTATTATAGATTGCATGCTTTGCCCCAAACCTTCGAAATTCTTATTTAATGTACCTCTTCCTAGAATAGTAACAGTCTCTTATACGGACTGCTAACTTTTCACTGTGACAACAAAATTCTGTTAGGAAATTCAATGAAACCAAAGTTGGTTCTTTGAGGATCAGCAAGTTTGACAAACCTTTAGCTAGATAGATTTAAACAAAAAAAAGGAATATTCAAATCACTAAAATTAATGAAAGTGGGGATATTACTTACCAATTCTACAAAAGATAAGAGAGTACTATGAAAGATTGTGTACCAACAAATTGAATAATCTAGATTAAATGGACAAATTCCTAAAAAAGAAATTAAAAATATAAGTGTACTTGTAAGTAGTAAGGAAATAGAAACAGTAATCAAAAATTTCTCAATTAAAAAAAAAGCCCTGAATCTGGTCGCTTCAAAGGAGAATTGTACCAAACTTTTAAAGAAGTAATTACCAGTCTTTCTCAAATTTTTCCAAAATATTAAATAAAGAACTCCCATTTCATTCTATGTGGTACCATTGCCCTAGTACCAAAGCCAGACAAACACACTATAAGAAAACTACAAGTCAATATTCTTTTGAAACACTGATGCAAAACCTCAAAAAATATATATGAGCAAAACAAAACAACTATGCAGCTTGATCAAGCGCAGTTTATTCCTGGAATGCAAACATGATCCAAAGGATGAAAATCAGTCAATTTGGTATATCATAATAAGAGAAATTAAGGGGAGGTGATTCACTTGATCAGATCACTTGTTGCAGAAAAAGCATTTCACACAACTCAGTGCCCTTTTATGGTAAAAACATTTTTTATGGTAAAAAGAATAGGAAACTATTAGATAATAGCCACATATCATTAAAAACCCACATTGAATATCACACTCAATGGTGAAAGACTGGAAGCATTTCCTTTAAGATATGAACCAAGCCCAGGATGCCTGCTTTCACACTGTTAACACAGTATTGGA